AAACTTTTTCAAAAGCTAACTCTCATGCCATTCGAAAGAGGATCATGAAAAACCTATAAAAAAATGGTTCATGAAATTTTATTTCGCTCATAAAGCTAAAGTCCGCCTGCTCAAGCAAAAAATGCCCGCTGTGCGGTACTATCTAAACCATAGAGAAGATGCCTTGGTTGAAACGTTTTGTTTTCTGTTCCAGATGTATTTCGTTACACTTTTACTATCTACTCAATTGCAAAAACAAATGTCAGTTTCACTAATGAATAAAATGTAAACATAATCAGAGTTGGTCTTAAAAAGCTGAACAAGTGTTTCTTCAATTACAGAATATCCTGCTACTTGTCCCGTGTCTCTTCTAGGACCCATCAGTTCCAAACAGCCTAATAAATGGTAAGTCAGGCGATAAAAGGAGCTGATCAACCACGAGCTCAGTGGTATTGGAAATCAAATTCTGATCCATGGTCAACAAATGGAAATGAAGAATGGACAAAATATGCTGATATCGAATCAGCGATTATCGAAGAAGCATTTAATCAAAAGAATAAAATAAAACTAGCTGAACTGGATAATTATTCGATTAACTTAAACGATTGCATTCAAATCAGTAAATCGGATCCAAATAAACAACGGCAAATAAAACGGGTTCTAACTAGTAGAAATGAAAGTCAAGGTTTAAGAGAAGAAAGATTCTTTCTCCCACCAGCATTGAGTAAAACGTTCAATGATGACTGGGGCAAAGAAGCTTATATTTTTCTGTCACAGTGGAGGAACGACAAGGAACTTTCTAACGCTGAAATAGTAGAGCAGGCAGCGAATGGAATAATTATCGAAGGAAAGAAACTAGGTCAACATTGTGACTCACAATATCTAGCTCGTCAAATACTAGCCGTGAAAAACAAAAAAAGAGAAGAAATTTACAAGTGTTGCATTCAGCTATACACAATGGAATGCTTTCTATATAAACTAATAAATAAAGCACTGAGAGAAACCGACAAGAGCAAAATAAACACTTTGGGACCATTTTGTTACATTCTATTCAGAAGCTGCCATAACATCGACACGAAACACGCGGCGGAACTTTATCGAGGTGTAAAAATCGATCAGAACACGCTGGAATCATATGCCGAAGCCACCGGCCAGCACAGATGTTGGAGCGGCTTTATATCAACTACCAAAAACTGCACAAAAGCCCAAAACTTCGGCAATATCCTATTCATTATTGACGCCAGCGAAAACGGCGGCATAGATATATCACACCTTTCCCAATACGACGAAGAAGAAGTCATACTTCCTCCAGCAACAACATTTACAATCATGGAGGTCAAGCAAACCACGGCCAAAACTCATGTTTATTTGAAACTACTGAATAACAACCATACTACACACACGCCAAATTTTCTTTCCCTGATCGCCAGTTTACCCCGTCAGATGACCATTGCTGTGATGAAACTGAAATGTCATCAGGTGCCATGGAACATCTAGGAGACAGATGAATAGTCTACTGGTGGTACTCGTGATTGCCATTCTTCACTAGCTGCATCATCATTGAGTCAGTTGTTGGTGACCTGATCGTCGTCAGATGAGCATTACTGTGACGAAAGTAAACTGTCATCCCGTGCCATGGAACATCTAAGACATAGATGGATAATCTGATGCTGGTTGGCATTCTTCACTAGCTGAATCATCATTGAGCCAGTTGTTCGTGACATCGTCCTCGTCAGATGAGCATTGGTGTGACGAAAGTGGAATGTTATCTGTTGTCATGGAACATCTAGGAAATAGATGAATAGTCTGCTGCTTTTGCTGCTGGTGTGGTGCTGATTATGATAATTGGGATTCTTCGTTAGCTGCATCATCAGTGAGTCTGCTGTTGGCGGCCTGGTCGTCGACAGATTGGCATTGTTGAGACAAAAGTGAACTATCGGCTGGTGCCAGGAGACATTGTGGACGTAGATGGATAGTTTCGTTATGCTGATTGGCATTCTTCGTTAGCTGCATCATCAGTGAGTCTGCTGTTGGCGGCCTGGTCGTCGACAGATTGGCATTGCTGGGACGAAAGTGAACTGTCGGCTGGTGCCAGGAAACATTGTGGACGTAGATGGATAGTTCCGTTATGCTTATTTGCATTCTTCACTAGCTGCATCATGTTTGAGTCAGATGCTAGTGACTTCGCCGTCTTCAGATGAGCATTGCTGTGACGAAAGCGAAATGTTATCTGTTGCCATCCAACATCTAGGAGACAGATGAATAGTTTTGTTATTTGGATTCTTCACTAGCTGCATCATCATTGAGTCAGTTGTTGGTGACCTGATCGTCGTCAGATGAGCATTGCTATGACGAAAGCGAACTGTCATCCCGTGCCATGGAACATCTAAGACATAGACGGATAGTCTGATGCTCATGGTGGTTATGGTGTTGATCGTTTGTGAATTGCGGTGGCGTTGATGGGACTGTTAGTATGAATTTTAGGGAACAAAGATGGAGGTTTTGAAAATTTTGTTTTCTTGTGTTCTTTAAATTCAGTCTTTATCAGTATTATCGAAGACTTCTGATTATACATGTATACTTTCATTGTGCTTTTTGTTTAACTTGTTTTAAATAATGCCTGAGAATGTGTGTTTGGTTTTGTTATAATATTGAATGAAAACTTTTATTGTATTTTAATATATTAATATTAGTTTAAACTCGTTTGTGAAGGTGTATTCGGTGTAGTTCTGTAATGTACAGAAGATGTCGTATATATTTGGGATAAGTGAATAATTTTAAGGATTACTTAAGAAAATACATATAAATTATTAAGTTTACAAAGATTTTGATATCGATTTGGTTTTGCATGTTGTTGTGAGAAAATAAAATAATAATTTTTTTGACTTAGTTTCCTGTATATTTACGGTTAACTCCCATATATTTACCATCGTTTTCCAGGCGTGATCTATGTCGAAAAGCTCAAATGATGATTCGTTAGCAGAAAAACGTTTTGTATAACCAGCTTAAACTAGCTGGGATGGGTTAAATAGTTAACTTGAGCTAGTTACATAATTTTTTTGCTGTTAGGTTGGTATTTATCCATTAAGGCATTCGAATACACGACCAAGATTGTCTACTATTTGCTATTTTTTGTAAATCTATACAGAAAATATGTGCCAGCTTTCAAACAATTCAAGATTGAACATATACAGATGATAAAACAGAAAACCGTACGTTAAACAAATTTCATTAATAGCTGAAAGAATATTTTTGATGATGATGATCACAATTAAATTTTTTTAATTTTTAATGCAATATGGTTGGTTTCTTTATGGTAGATTCATTGCACAGACACTGTATAATTTATTTTTCCTACAACTACTGTTTAACTTAACAGTTATCCTATTATTTTATAATAAAAACAGGCTTTATTTTTAAAAAGTTATCAGCATAAAACAGCAGCTCGGTGAAAGAGTAAACTATTAACATGTTCAATAGTTTATATAGTGAGCCTCAATTGATTATCTTTTTGTGTATTTAGATTAAACATCAAATGCAATTTAAAGTGCAAAAGATATATTAGAAAAAAAAGTGACATTTTTTTACTTCAGGGTGTCCACAATGTTGTAACATCTTTTATTTCGTATATATCTCGGCTTTGGTAAAGGATAATACCTTGAATTTTTTCAAGAAGATGCGCTGTGAAAAGCTCTACAAAAGCTGTATAAACAAATTTCTTTTTACCTGTCCCAATGGTTTTTCTTATACTCAACATGAAAAACCTATATGTCAGTGTCATTGTCCGTCATATTGAAAATGTTTGGGAGACCTTCTGTTTTGCGTATATCTCGACTTGAGAAAAAGATGGAATATTGAATTTGTTTTTGAAAGATGTGCGGTCGAAGCCTCCACAAAACTTGTATAGACCAAATTCTATAGCGAATCAGAAAAGTCCTCAAAATATTTTCTATATGATGGGAAATGACACCGCCATGTACGTTGTTCATTTCGAGTATAAGAAAAACCATCAAAAGAGCCAAAAAGGAATTCGATCGTACAGCTTTTGTAAAGCTTTTCACAGCGCATCTTCTGAAAAAAAATTCAAGGTATTGTCATTTACCAAAGCCGAGATATATACGAAATAAAAAATGTTACAATGTTTTGGACACCAGATATTGTAGTGAAAAAAAATGTCACTTTTTTTTCTAATATATCTTTTGCACTTTAAATTGCATTTGATGTTTAATCTAAATACACCAAAAGATGCAGCGCGTTTCGGGCTTTCTCCCTATATATAGTAGATTAATAAATAAAATAAGTATAGCAATAAAAACAAAAAATATCAAAGGGGGGAAAACCAATTGAGGCGTGCTGTAGAATCTGTAAAAACTTGTTTTGATAGAGTAATGATTCAAGATAAACGTATTTCATGTCTATTCACTAGAATCCTATTTAAATGGTGAAAGATTATCTTTATCCTAATGTTTATTAAAAATAGGTTTCTTGAAAACTGATGTATATATAAGTAAGTGTTCATTAGATGAGACGAATTTAATTTATATTTTGACTATTTAGTCATTATTATTTGACTTTTTGTCTTAGATCATTTGTTTCTTGCTCGTATGTATCGATTTCATCTTCTAAAAAATTGATACGATTTGGTAATGTTTCAATTTGATATTTTAAATGCAATAGTTTTGATTCTTCTAAATCTAATTTTATCCGAAATTGCATTTTCTTCTAATAAATTTTCTATTGTTTTCAAATTGTTATTCTTTATTTGTTGTTCATTTATATCCTTCATCGAGTTCGAAATATTGATCTTATGAATATTTTCTTTTCGATATTTATTTATTTTGTATTGTTTAATATTTAATGATTGATATTTTGATTTTGGGATTAGAGAGGAAAATGATTTTGATTTTAACTTATTGTCATCATTTGAGATTGTTGAATTGGATAATAAATTAGTATGAATAATACTAATAACGATGAGAAAATAATGTGAGATAATCAGCAAATTTTCCACTTAATAAGATCAGAATATAAAACATGTACTAAATCGTTACAATTTTCTACTGTACTGTTTATTGCATTGATTATAGAATGCCGCCATTTACTCAAACAAAAATTCATCTTAATAATGAGGATGATGAATTCTCATACATCGTAATCGACGGAACAGGTGCACCATTGATGACTGCGACTATAAGTCGCAAACAGTGTGGAGTCCTCGATTCCGATTAGATATTTATATTATAGTACTTGATCGTCAATTTTTGATAAAACATAAGAACAAGCATAAACAAGTTCATTGTAAAATGCAATCAGCCATGTAAATCAAGCAAATAATAGCAGGCCAGTTCTTATTCCTGAATATCTAAATATTAAATAATTTTTTCGCAAAACAATGGCAGTTCAAGCGGAAAATAAATCTTACTCCGCTCAAATGACTATCTCTCAGCATAGCTCATTGTGTGTCTACCAAAGATCTTGAATGGGGAATCTTTTGGTGAAAAATGAGTTGTGCGAGTGCAAAGGGCGAGGAGAAAAACTGAAAATAAGAACTACATATACAGGGGTGAGAGTAAGAAAATCAAAATACCTCCCAGGTTTTTCAGATGAGCGCCTAACATTTATCAGATTTCTTTTAAAAAAAATTCACAGAGATATGTGTTTTTTGTAAAAGTACTAAATTTGAAAGTAAGCGGTACTGTATGCAAGTGACAGACATACATAGCTTTCTTGTTAGAATTTCTGAATTGTGGCATTACTGAATGTTGAAATTTCTGAATTTTGGGATTTCTGTAGTTTTGCATATAAGAATTTCTGAATTTTGAAATTTATAGAATTTACGAACTTTGGAATTAAGGAACTTCTAAGTTTTGTTGTAGCATATAATTTGGAATTTATAAAGCATATAAGAGTTTCTGAATTTTGGAGTGTTGTAACTTCTGAGTTTTGGAATTTACAGAATTTACGAACTTCGGAATTTGGAGTGCTGAAACTTCTGAATTTTGGAATTTATGGGATTTATGAACTTTGGAATTTTGTTGTAGCATAGAATTTGGAATTTATAAAGCCTATAAGAATTCCTGAATTTCAGAATGTGACACTGATTCTTATCCTGATTTGAGAACGATCAACACACAAGCTTGCCAACAAAAGAACAGCTGGTTAAAACAGTATTTAAATGCCTGTCGTCTTAAGCCGATCAACGATCTAGCTTTTTTTACCTCCTCCTCTTTCATTTGTCGAACTGCGATCGTTGTGGTATAG